GCTAACTCGAACCAAACTCGATTTCCCCTGGATTTCCGTCATACATTCACCATAATTTTGCCCTCGGTAACTCGAACCCTCGATAAGTTGAACTCCCGCTAACCCGAACCAATTTTCGTTTCCCCTCAGGTCATTTTCTATATAATTTTACCCTTGATAACTCGAACATGTTTTGAGCCCTTAAAAAGTCGGGAAAAAGCCGTCTACGGGCATCCGAGACATTGAATTTTGCATTTCCTATTGACGTGTTGTAGGAGTATAGTTTACTAGTGGAGGCTGATGTTGATTGTCACAGGCTAACGTGAAGCAGCTTTTCTTCTCAAAACAGTTAAACGCATGCTCTATTTAGGCTGTGTTTTGTTACGTTACGTTCTGATTTATAATCTAGAAGTATCTTTTAATTTTCACTTGACATTTCTACAATTAAATGTGATTAAAATGTTCACTGTGCAGTAAAAATTGTTTTTTACCTTACTCTCGGCTATTTTTTTCGAACTCCCGATAATTCGAACTCCCGATAACTTGAACCTTTCTTCAATTTCCCTTGAAGGTTCGGGTTATCGGGAGTCGACTGTAGTTTCAAATTTTGAGTACATATATGTAGGACAAATAAAGAAAGATTTTTTATGGTAATTTTTTTAACTTTGGTGAAGAAATGAGAAATGATGTGATCAACATGTCACGAGCATGGGACAAAGAAAAAATCTGAGTCCCCAAATTGAACCTATGACTTTCTGCACTGAGCTTAAAATTTAACATCTTTCTTCTGACATTGCTGATCCTTGCAGTATGTAGGATGCATGTCATACATGAACCATGTAATGTATATGACCCAGCTCACCATGAGTCCTTCGTAGCTCAGTGGTTAGAGCATCCGACCGGTCTGCAGAAGGTCATAGGTTCAATTTGTTTTGGGGACTCAGATTTTTTCTTTGTCCTATGCTTGTGACATGTTGATTACATCATTTCTTATGCAGATCCATATTATATGTAAGTATCCACCCTGCAAGCTGAGTACCTCCTTTTGTCTTCTTTTTGATGGAGGAGGAGAAAAGAAGGCTCTGTCTGAATTGGGTCAATCCTTCAAAGCTGCCACAGCCCATATTTAAGGCCTTCCAATTAGGATGTATGCTGCCGCTTTGTCTGTCATTTCTGAGACTGCCTGTTGCCTTGTATGTTAGGAAATATGTTGCTGTCTCATTTAAGGTTAGGAAAAATGTCACTGTTTAGGATGAAAATTTTGCTGATACTCAATTTTGGAATTTATGGCAGATATAGCACCTGGAAAGAGTTAAAAAAAATTTGTTAATAAAATAATTGTTATTAATCTTTCTCCATGGAGGGACCATTCTTCAATAATAGAGTGGTTTTCGTTTGAGTGTCGTAAAACCAAAACCAAAGTAATTACTCTGGCCAATCACATAGGACACAGACAATACATTGAACCAATCAAAACTCGAAGTAATTACATGTGGCTGACGCAACCTCGTGATAAGGCATCACAAAAATCAACCCCTTGGGGGGGGGGGGGGCTTAGGCCCTAATTATTGTATTTTAGAATAAACTGAATAAATGTCTATCGAAAACTGACCAGTGTGGCTCAAAACGTGAAGAAAGTGGCTTCAAAGAACCTCAAAAAGCCCAAAGAATTAATATGTTCATACACTCCCGCAGTTTCCTCGAAAACCATACCCGATTCCAGACCAGAATGGTGCAAAAAACCATACTCTTTGGGTCGGCACATACCTCTACAGCTTATATAAGGGAGTACCCCCTCCCCCCCCCCACCTCCCCACTGCTGGGTGCTTTGTCTTGGAAAACAAGAAAGAAAAGTTAGCAGAATCTTTACACTTGACGGTGGAAATGACAAGAAGGTCGAATATTTATAACTTAAATCTTAGAAAACTTTGCATAAACAAAATTGCTGGCGATCACAGCTTCGCTGCAAGCTATCATGAATTAGATAAGAACAAACTAAAAATAATAATAACACTCTGGAACCCAGGGTAGTGATAATGCTGATATTAACCGTAATTTCCAGTTGATTTGAAATTCTTTGGAATGGTGTTGTTGGCTATTATACATTGGTTTGGTCCTTCTAGACCTAACACAGGGCAAAAAAAAAAAATTCACCCATCTGAGCATTCAAGTAGTTTTGGCTCTGCCCCCAGTTGCCTGATAGCACTATCCACCATGTTATTGGTTTCCTTTTCACTTTATATCCGCTGGATAGTGATTTATTGGGCCCTGGTTGTTCAAACATTGGATAGCGCTATCCACTGGATAAAGCACTATCCAGGGGATAAGTATTACGGAAATCAATTACGCAATCCGTGGGATGGAGATTTATTTGGTGGGTAGCGCTATCCAATGTTTGAACTACCAGGGCCTGGTGGATAGCACTTTCCATCTTTTGAACTACTAAGGCCAGATGACAAAAACTTGTAAATCAGTAAAATCACTCCCCAGACAGACCAGACAAGGTGATAATATTGAATGTAATATTTTCTATGTGTTTTATTTTTCTTTGTCCATGTTTGCCAACTTAAATGGAGTCACTTGCAACATAGCTGGAGGCAGGGTCCTTGTATTAAAGAAATATTTTCAAAATGGGAAAAATGAAATAACTTTTCCTTTTGGCTCTGCAGCTTGAGGAGGATAAAGTTATTGATCTAGTGGAAAAGTCCTGCAATCCAGAAAAAGATGAAGGAAGCTGGATATCCAAAATAGATCTGAGAGAAAAGAGTGGAGAGTTACGCCTTTTGGAGCAAGAGAATGTTGGGAAATGTAAAAGAGAGTGCCAGACAATTTCAAAAGCGTGTGAGGAGTCTGTGGCAGAAGTGGATACAGATCTTGCAGAGCTCTTATGGAAAGATAAGTTGTCATTGTCAAAACTGATCAATGAAGTTTGTTATTCAATGTCAAGTGCATGCAAAGGAAAGCCATCAAAGCTCAAGGCTGGAGAAAGAAAGGTTGATGAAAGTTTTCAAGTTCTGACTGAAGATGAGAAGAAAGCAGAAGATATCTTAAAACAAATGAGGTAATGCAGAAGTTCTGTTGTTTTTGTTTGGTTTTTCTCTCCTCAGACTCACCTACAGTAGACTCCCGATAACTCGAAGCCTTGCTAACTCGAACCAAACTCGATTTCCCCTGGATTTCCGTCATACATTCACCATAATTTTGCCCTCGGTAACTCGAACCCTCGATAACTTGAACTCCCGCTAACCCGAACCAATTTTCGTTTCCCCTCAGGTCATTTTCTATATAATTTTACCCTTGATAACTCGAACATGTTTTGAGCCCTTAAAAAGTCGGGAAAAAGCCGTCTACGGGCATCCGAGACATTGAATTTTGCATTTCCTATTGACGTGTTGTAGGAGTATAGTTTACTAGTGGAGGCTGATGTTGATTGTCACAGGCTAACGTGAAGCAGCTTTTCTTCTCAAAACAGTTAAACGCATGCTTTATTTAGGCTG